GCCAAGGTTTATCGAGGAAGCTCTTTGTCACCGGATTAGAGTGGCTCACTAGACACTCAGCTCAAATGGCTTGCTTGGAAGAGCCAGCTAGAGGAGAAACTCATTAGAGGAGGTCGCCTGAGGAGAGGCTCACTAGGGCCTGGAGGAGCCCATTGGAGGAGGCTCGTTGGAGAGAGGCTCATCAGAGGAGGAGGGAGCTCGCTGCAACCCTTTGGAATTTGCTGTTGCCCCCCAAATCCCAAGGTTGCCATCAAAGCTCGATGGTTTCCTACACTACCTTCTGGTGCTCGTCGCTGCTTGTCGGAGTTTGCAACAGTTGCCAAGGCTTGTCAATTCTCTACCATAGCTCACTAATGATTATTGAAGCTCGATACATTCGGCGAAGGTTGCCGCTACTTGCTAAAGTTGCCAAGGCTCGCCGAAGCTCGCTAAAGTTTGTCGTTGGTGGTACGGACCACTAATGGCATGGATCCAAACAAAAGGGCTCCCCTGCACTGAATCACGGATCACTAGAGGAGAGAGGCTTGCTAGATTTTCCTTGTCTGGGACTTCTTCTACAAATCTTTGATGAGGCCAAAAAGTGGAGAAAGATTTTCCTTTGTGATGACTATTTTCTCTATTTGACTTTTCCACTCTCTCTCTCTTTGTTTTTGTTCTTTTATACTTTCTCTCAAACTTTATAATTGTTTCTAATAAGATACTCCAAATAAAAAAAATATTATTTTATCAAGTCCCACGGGTGACACAAGTGATGGAAACGGCTGTTTCGAAGCATCAACCCAACAAACTCAGTACTGGGTCAATACCACACCGAATATTGCAATCTAGTAAATAAATAGATAAACGGAGTAGATAAAAAAATACATTCATGTGGAAACTTAAATTTGGGGAAAACCACACGTTTCTTTGGACTATACCATGCCAAGGGGAGAAATTTTTATTAATCTCTAGGGAGTTTTCACATATATCACTATAGGATCTTGGAGCCATTAGTGGAGCTCTCAAGTTCAAAGGAGATGAAGATGAATTGTAATGGAGGAGAGAGAACATTATTGTTGGAATGGAGTCTTTTAGGGTGTTTCTCCATTCCCCCTTTCATAGCCTTCACATTTAAAGGAGGAAATGCCCATCAAATAATGTGTGTGGACTCCTCACTAATTTATTGTATAGCATTTTGTGGGAGACGAATTAATATGCTCAGGTCCCACCAATATTACAAATATCTCATGCATGAATAAATCTCCTAGAAATGTATCTTCTAGGCCCCTTTGAATATTTATTTATCATTTCAAATATATTCTTTTGTCTATATATCTCGAACTTTGTTTTGAAATGATTTAACTGATATGTTTCTTGGGCCGCACTAAAATGAGCTTCCTTGTATTGTTCAAATAATATTGGATTGGATGAAATCCCTAATTCATCACATGCCTCCTACTTTTGAGTCCACGAGACAGATTCAGAAATTATATGACTCTGTCACTATTATCGTAGAAGAGAGCTTTTCTTAGAAACTTGCGAAGAGGGATTTACTTTTTTGAAGGGTCTTGTTACCTAGTGAGTGAGGACTTAACTTAGGGGCTGTTTGTTTCAGCACTTAATGGTTCAGACTGTTTGTTTCAGCCTCTTAATGGTTAAAAGATTTGCCTCTGAATGGTTAAGTATTATACAGAGTCTGAATGATTAATGTTAGCCTTGGTATGCTTAATCTCATGTTTTGATGTTAACAAATAATTTAATTGAGCTAACGTTTGTTCAATTGTGTAGGAACGACAAAATCCACTAAAACGCGTTGATTGCGTCAATACGTTCGCTCACACAAGACTAGCATAGAATAGCTTAGAGTCATTTATTGTTAAAGATATTTGAATGATATATCTCTAAGCTCAAGCTAAAATTTGCACACACACAAAAAAGATTTTTACTTGGGTATTAATTTTAAAATACATTTGGTAAATATTTTCGAAAAATATATTTTTTCAAAATATTTAACTAAAGTTATAACTCTTCTCAATACTAGATCGCCATTTCTTGAATTACTCAATTCTGATTAGTATTGAAAAAGTTATTAACATTTTACCAAAATTATTTCAAAATTGCGCACTCAGTAACGAACGGTCGATGTGGTGAACCGTTACACCTAGACGGTCGACCGTCCTACTGACCGTTGGAGGAATCTGAACGTTACCCCGAACAGTCGACCGTTTGGACTGAAACGGTCGATGTAATGAACCGTTCGGAGACCAGATTCTTTAAACTCTTGTCTTTTTCACACCCAACGGTTGGATTATTTTAATTATGGTATTAGGAGTTAATTATTCTTCTCTAACAGCTATTTTTCAATTTCAAACAACTCCTAATCCATCCCTATAAATACCCAAACCATTTCAATGTTTTTAATCAATCAAGCCTTGCTAAAATCTCTTAATTCTTTCTTCTTGTGTTCATAAAAATCTCTGATTTTTATTAGGCTATTAAAGAGCCATTTCTTCAATATATTTTCTTGAACACACATTGAGCTTGATTCAAAAGAGATATACACTCATATTATCTATAAGAGAGTTGTAATTGTTAGTGTATAGAAATCATCACACCAACCCAATCTTGTATTTCATATTCTTGAGGTGGTGTTGATTTATTCAAGTTATCATATCCTTGTAATACGTTGAAGATATCCGTTGTAAAATCTTCATTGAGACGGTTGGAGATAGCCGTGGTGAAACCTCCGGAAGCAGTCAAGGACATCCGTGAAATCCTTGTTGAGACGGTTGGAGATAACCGTTGCAAATCTCTAGGTTGAAGACATCCTGCAAATCTTTGGTGCACGGTTGGGGATAGCTGTTGGAAAATCCTCAAGCTAGTTGGATACTTCAAGGCGTGAAGTATTGTCGATCTAGTGTAAACCTATTGGCAAAGGTTTGTTTGCCAAAGACTGGTTCCCTCGTGACGATCGTATTGAGACGGTCAAGGCGTTCTAGTGGATTGAAAATCCTTAAGGAGGAGCCTTAAGGTACTGGAGTAGGGAGTTCCCGAACCAGTATAAAATCGGTGTGCATTTACTTTACGCTTTTACTTTTGCGTTTTATATATTGCTTCCGCATTTGCCAACACTGTTTTTATTAAACTCCGAAAATATTTTAAAACGCCTTATTCACCCCCTCTAAGGCGTGGGCACAACGCCTTATTCACCCCCCTCTTGGAAATAAGCTTAACTTCTTTTTACTTTTTTAAGTGCCTCGTAGAGGACTTTTCTTGGGGGGTTGGTGTCTCTTGGAAGAAGACTTCTCTTGGGGACTTGTGTCTCTCGGAAGAAGACTTTTCTCAGGATTCAGTTCCTCTTGAAAGAGGGCCTTGTGCCTCATTGAAGAAAACTTGTCTCAGGACTTGATGCCTCTTTTGAAGAAAGCTTTTCTTGGGGTTCGGTTTCTCTTGGAAGAGAACTTTTCTTGGGGCTTATTTTTAGTATTCTTTAGAAGCCTTTTAACCACAACCTCATATCTATCTAAAGTGGTTGGGCGCTCCGTTCATATTGAAGGACAAACATTCCCCACCTTATTCTCTCTATCTCGCTACGAGAGTCTATGACTATCTCCACTGATCCAATCATCTAACTCAAATATGATCAAGTTACTGATCTTTTTGTTGAGTAACTGCGCATGGATAACACAACGGAAAACAAAATTTTATATCCAATCATCGTTACCACCTAAGATCGTCTTACGAAAACTATAAATTATTGTTAAGAAAAATACCTTTTCTCATAGAAAACAGATCGAACGGTGTTGGTTAAGGGATTGGTGCAACGAACCGGTCACAAAAAAAATCCAACCTCTAGCGCGTCCACACGAACAACGAACAGTATTCTAAGAAAAATTTATGCTAGTAAATTCTTCCTAGAATATTACTTGAATATAGAAATATATTTGGAATGATGAAGAATATTTTCTTTCTTCTTCTTTGAAACTTTTCTGCGAGGAGGTGATTAGATTGGCAAAGTGGCGTGAGGAACTCAAGTTTTAAAGGAAATCCAATCTCCTAAACTTGTGGAAGTAGAGTTGTGTATCAAAACAAACTCCTTCCTCCTTCCAACTCTTTATTTTCAGCCCCATGTAAATAAAATATAACAATTTATTTTGTCAATTTTAATTATCATATAATTAAGACAAAATAAATATTAAATAGTTATTTATTAATTCGGTAATCATATTACCGTGTGTGTGTGTACACACACATATAAATATATATGTATATATATATTAAAATTTAAATGCAAAAAATTTTTAAAATGTCACAAAAATATGTATTTTTTATAAATCGAAAGTTTATTTAAACAAGAAACATAAAAAAAATGAAAAATTAAATGCAAAAATTGCTTAAAACAAAAAAATGAAAAATTAAATGAAAAAAATGCTTATTTAAATTCTTCTACAAACAATTAAAACTTAAATAAAATTACAATGTACACATTATAAAATCTGAGCCAAATTTTAAAAATAAACTTAATATTCAATGAAAAAATATAAAAATATTATTATATTTATAATATATTAGTGTATATATTCGGTTCGGGATTTTCGGTATGAGAAGTTACCTCGTACCGTTTTCAAATATCGAACCGAATATTCAGTTCGGTACGGTTCGATATTTTAGTGGCATTTTTGGTTTGGTTTTCTTGGTTTTTTGGGAATTTTAGGTATCTTTTGATACTTGCTCACTCCTATCTATTATTCCATCCATCTGAAAAAGATTTGTTATTTCCTTTTTGGAACGTCTTAAAAAAGTATCGTATTTCTATTTTTTGAAAATTTTTTGAGTGTTTCACAATCTTTTCTCTCATATGCATCGTTTTCAAAACTCTCAACTTTTTTTAGGATGGATGGAATATTAATTTTTTTAATTTCATTTTTCTAATTTCTATATTCTGCAAATTCGGAACATTGTTAAGGGACATAGGGAATTTCAATAACAAAAACTCGAGGGGCGCAAATATTAGCTGTTAAAAACAAATGGGGTCCAAGTGATATTATCGGGCAGAATTCGCCCGGCACAAAACCCTTCCCAACTTCCCACTTCACTTTACTTTTTACTCCTCCCTCCGTTCTGCTCTCTGCGGCTAGGGTTCTTACCCAACTTAGATCCAAGAGATTCAAGGTTTCCCACAGTTTTCTGCTTTATACTTTCCATGATTTCGCTCTCTCAGATATCTGTAACTGATGGAAACTTATCATTTCTCTACTTCTATGCAACGAATCAAGACTGTTTATCTTCCTAAGACACACCTGAAATTTGGCTGTTTACAAATACATTTTAACATATTCACGGGCTTTCTGTTGGTTATGATTTATGAAAAGTCTTTTTGTAATTCTACCTGTGTATTTTTTTTTTGAAAAGAATTCTACCTGTGTATTTGGTACAGATGAATGTAGAAAAGCTTCAAAAAATGGCTGGTTCAGTCAGGACAGGTGGAAAGGGAACCATGAGGAGGTTGGTTCGTTTATTTTTTATAAAATTATTATTGTTTCCTTGTGTTCTTAAGGTGGTCTATACAATGTCCTTTTTAATTTTGCTCAAGTAACTAAAGAATATTTTAGTTTAGTGATTAGTGATATGTACTCTGTATCAGTTATAAAAGTTATGTAGTGACATTTTGACTGTTTTATGAGCTCCCATTAGCTGTGAGATAAAAAAGATATTTGTATACTTTATTTAGTTTAATTCAACGATTTTAAAGATTAATTTTATTTTACCCTATGTTTTAATGAGTGAAAGAGTCAATTCTTGCCTTGTTCTAATGTCTTTTCTTGTTTTGCACTCCCGTTAATGAGTGAAAGAGTCAATTCTTGCCTTGTTCTAATGTCTTTTCTTGTTTTGATGGTATTCATGGTTCTATCTTTGATAAACACTCTTACAAAAAATGAAGGTGCATCTTAGAGAAAACAGTTATATTTTGATTTTTCTGTAAGGTCAAGTTTATGCTACTGTTAATTTTTTTCTCGTTATGCTTATATGTACTCTCAGAAAGAAGAAGGCAGTTCACAAGGCAAATACAAATGATGACAAACGGCTTCAGAGCACACTGAAGAGAATAGGTGTGAATGCCATTCCTGCAATTGAGGAGTTAAACATTTTCAAGGAGGATGCAGTAATCCAGTTCCTTAATCCCAAAGGTACTAACAATGCTGTAAATGAACACTGGGTTTCAGTAACAATTCTCCTTTTGTTCACCAACTACTACTCTTACATGTTTTTGTGTATCCAGTTCAAGCCTCAATTGCTGCAAATACCTGGGTTGTCAGTGGTTCTCCTCAAACCAAAAGTAAGCTATATTTGTGTATAAGCTGATTTATCCTTTTATTTCATTTCCGAGTCACTTACTAGTGCTGGGGAGTGGTGAATATAATTGCTCCATGTAATGCGGTTTTAATCAAAAGTATTTGTAATGCCCTCCTTTACTATTTTCAAGAATGCCGACTTCAAATCTGGCAATTATTGAAGGCTATATTTACTTCACTTAACTCTTTGAATTGACAACCATAATTTGTGCTTTCTACAGAGTTGCAGGATATTCTTCCTCAAATCATTCACCAATTGGGTATGGTCTTTTTTTATTACATTCAGTGTCCTTGGAGAGTTCTGTATGTGAGGTACTGGTTTAATGCTTTGTAAAAATTTCATGTTTCATAGGTCCTGATAACTTGGAACACTTGAAGAAGTTGGCTGAACAGTTCCAGAACCAGGCATCTGGTGCTGCTGCAGGTTCAGCCGATGGTGCTGCTGTGGCACAAGATGATGATGATGATGTCCCCCAACTTGTGCCTGGTGAAACTTTTGAAGCTGCTGCTGAGGGTCACAACTAAAACGTTTCTTAAATTTTGTGCCATCTTTGGGTTTTCAAATCCTTCCAAATCTGTGTTATCCTTAGTTGGATGCTCAATTTGATGTCTCTTGTGTCTTGTGAAACATGAATGCATTTATTAGTGTTTTACCCTTTTCCTCTACAGAATTCTCCCATGTTATACTCACTATTTATAAAGGGTGTCTTTGGAGGGTAACTCTACCTCATTTAGGTGGTATAGGTGAGTGCAGGTAAACCTGCCCTCCCAACAATGACTTCCATCCATTTCAGTGCTTGTTTGTTGTTTCACTTAAAGTTTGGAAAAGGTTGCCACAAATCTCCCCACTTTTGAGTGAAACAACAATCAAGTGCTGAAACGATTCGCTTGACCGGAGGGAGAAATAATGTGCATGGATACCCACTACCCACATTTTATGATAAATTTCTTCCTTAGCCAAACAACATTTTATGATTTTTACCCATTGCCTCTATCAATTTCTTGTAAGCCGCTATTAGAGAAATTACATCATCGGGTTGTGGGAATTTGCATGATTGCATCAATGTTGAATCGAATTGTTCTTGTATGCTGCATTTATGTTTTAAAAGTAACTTTTGATTTTTAAAAGGCTTTGGAGTTACAAAGAATCATTCTACCTCTCCTAGTATATTTTTCTAATTTCACTTTTTTGAATCAAATTAAACAAACTTTGAACTTTAATTATTCTCAATTTGTGTTATACATTTGTACAATAAAATAAAATTGTGAAAGTCCACAAGTAGATAAATCTAATAAAAAATTTTATATTAATATACATTATGTTTTTTGTTTAATTGAAACTCAAATTTTTTCTTGTTTGATTTGAAAAAAGTTAAATTTGACAAATATACTGTCAATACTAGGATGGAAAGAGTAGATCACATTGGGCACTTGCAAGTTGCAATGGTGAAGAATCATAGCTCTCTAGTGGTGGCATATAAATAGAGTAGAATACTTCCTTTGTCCCCAAAAAGATGTTCTCTCTACTATTTTATACTTTTTATAATTTTTGTTTGTATCTGTATTTTCATTGAATATTTGATTTAATTCCTAATTTTGAATTGCGGATATCGCCAAAAGTACACGAATGGTAGTCAATTTGACTACTGAACCAAAAATGTCATTATAATCAATACCTTCTACTTGCCGGTTTCCAAGAATAACAAGTCGCACCTGGTATCGTTCAACAAACCATTAGACTTGCGCTTGATACATTAGAGCCACTTACACCCCAAATCGTTTTTGTGGCAAGGCAAACGAACTAAGTGCTAGGTTCCGTATATTTCCAATGTTGCAACTTCTTCTACAATCGCCATGCACCGTGGTGGAGAAACACCTTTGGCCCTATCATCATTGGGTGTGAGAGCAGTGCTGCTGGACGTGGGAACTAACCATGGTCGAGTCCGCAAAGATCTTTATTGAGCTTCAACCTCATCATCAACATATGAGAATTTCGTAGTGATATTTGGAACTTTAGCTGGAACGGAAGCCTAGTAGGGAAAAACATTTTCACAAAATATCACGATAGATTATAAAGTTTCAAGACAGTGCACGCGCTACCCTTTCTTCACTAAAGGATAACCAACAAAAACATTGGGTTGACTACGACATTCAAACTTGTCCTGTTACAATCCTGATTATGAATGAATTGGAAACACAAACATCAAAATACTCATATATGAGACATAACCGACGCATGCACTTCCATATATCAATTCATGCAGTCTTCCCATTTAATAGAGAACATATGAAGTACGATTTATAAGATATACAGCGGTAAGAATACATTCTCCCCAAAATTCAATGGGTAAGGATTCATGGAAATAAAGAGCACGAGCAACATTCAAAATATGTTGATGTTTACGCTCGACTTGCCTGTTCTGTTGAGGTGTATAGCCTGAGACAAACGTGCAAGATTCCCTATCCCCTTATATAATAAGATTCAACTTCGTTTACTGCCGTAATATTAGCTCTTTTTCCGTCTTCTTCCGTCTCTTCCTCCGTCCGTTTACCCACTTCACCGGTTCCCCATTCACCGCCTTTCTTGCTTGATTATATCTCTTTCCTCACACTATTCTCGTAATTCCTTCACCGCCACTGCCGTTCCTTCTCGTACTCCCACCGCCACCACCCCACGACCTCTTCCAATTCCACCGGCCACCGATATAAATAACCCCTACCCTCTCTGCTTTTTCAGGTTTTGCTCTCCCTCACTTTATCCAGGTAATACTTCTCTCTAATTTTGGTAATGCGTCTCATCAATTCTTCCTCTAATTCTGCTTGTTTTCCCAACTTTTCCTTCTTCAAAAACCTAATTTAGTTATCCTTAATCATATGCTCCCTCCCCTTATTATTTACCTAAAGAGTAAAACTTTTCTTTGCTGCAATCTCTGATTTTATGCACTTCAAATTCAGATAATCAAATCCGCATTTTTTGAATTAGATTTTTTAAAGAGTAATTTTCCGCATACGAATTGATACTGCATGTTAATATTGCTCTGAAAAGTGGAACGCAATGCACTTTTAAATGAAGAAATTGTGTTCTTAATTGGAAATTTTATAAAACAAAGAATATATGAATATGAAATTCAAACAGAGTATATATTTGAAGTTGTTGTAGTTGTTTTTCAAGATAGTAGAGAAATTTTAGAAGCTGATTTCGAAATAGAATATCATTGTGAAGCTTATTTTAATGTGCGTAGTCATACTTCTGGGGCTGGTTTTGAAACATAAAAAATTATAGAGAAATGTGTCTTTTACCAGAGGCCGAGGTATTGGTACTTAATAGAAACCTGTAACAAGAATCAATAGTATTAAAACCACTTATATAGACAACGATTACATGCAACGACTTATAATGAGAAATTTTAGAAGCTGATTTTGAAATAGATATTAATTGTGAAGCTTATTTTAAGGTGAGAAATCATACTTTAGGGGCTGCTTTTGAAACAATAAGAACTCACTTTGATCTCCTTTAAATAAAATTGGTTTAGACTGTGTAGTCTGTGTAATGAATATGGGTGTAGTAAATATGGGTGAGCACTATGTTTTTAAGGTAATTAGAGAAGTCAAGGTATAAGTGTGTATTTCCTTTCTAAAAAAATAACAAAAACATATCCTTTTTCATATGTGTTCAATGACTGATTGGCCTTCAATGGTTTTTAAAAATGCAGTACATAGAGGCGAGTTGATATTGAATTCAGCAAACACTCAATCTCAAGATGTTAAAATGCCTTGAATCTGACCCATCACAGCTCCGAATCCGGAGAAGTCCGTTTTCGGAGGAGTCAGAATCCGGAGGAGTCAGAATCCGGAGAAGTCAGAATCCGGAGAAGTTAATTGGGCTTCTAATTATCTGTTAATTATGTAGTTTTGGGCCCAAGTATGTTAGGGTTTAGTGAAGCACTATTTATATGGGTGCTACAACAAACTCTATGAGCTGTACTCTGTTTTGCCTCTCCTTCAGAAATAAAACTGCTCCCCCTCTTCCCTGTGGACTAGCCAACACAACGTTGGTGAACCACGTTAAATCTGTTGTTGTGTTTTTTTCTGTTTGTTCTTTGATTACTCAATACCCTATTCCGTAACAACAAACTGGTATCGGAGCTTCTGGTTCGTCCGATTAGGGATTTTCTGAATTCCGCACTGTTAGGGTTTCTTGAGTCGATCGAAGATGTCATCTGCTCTGAACGTGAAGATTGATAAATTCAACGGGAGAAATAGTTTTGGCTTGTGGCAGATCAAGATGCGATCGTTGTTGAAGCAGCAGGGATTGTGGGCGCCGCTGACTGAAAAGGTGAATAAGGCAAACGATGATGAAGAGTGGAAAACCCTAGAAGAAAAGGCCCACTCGACAATCATGTTGTGCCTGTCGGACGATGTTATCATCGAAGTCGATGATCAGGAGACCGCTGCTGCCCTCTGGATGAAGTTGGAGAGCGTGTACATGACGAAGTCTCTGACCAATAAGTTGCTCTTGAAGCAACGTCTGTTTCGACTACGCATGCAGGAAGGTACACCCCTTCGGGATCATCTGGAAAAGTTAAGTAAAATTTTGCTTGACCTTCGCAACATTGATGTTAAAATAGATGATGAGGATGCTGCTTTAATTCTGCTAGTTTCTTTGCCTAAATCGTATGAGAATTTTGTTGATTCGTTACTTGCTGGTAAAGAAACTCTGTCTCTGGAAGATGTTCGATCTGCTCTCCACATGAGAGAAGATCGTCAACAGGCAACAAATTCAGCAACAGAAAATCAGGCATCGGGACTTTCTGTTACGGGTAAGGGACAGAAGGTTTTTGGAAAGAAGAAACCAAACTCTAAAGGTCCAAAAGGTCCTAAACCCGGTGACATCTGCAACTACTGTAAAGAATCAGGGCATTGGAAGTTTGATTGCCCTAAGAAGAAGATAAAGAAAAAGGACAAGAAAGAGGATGCTCACGGTTCTGCAACTATGGCAGAAGCTAACGATTCAAAGTCTGAAGAAGATCTGGTTTTGGTTGCAGGTGATCAGCCACATCAGAATGATGTGTGGATTCTTGATTCAGGAGCATCATACCATCTCTGTCCTCACAGAGAGTATTTTACCACTTACGAGCAGGTAGATGGTGGCAACGTTTCCATGGCAAACAGTGCTGTTTGCAAGGTGGTAGGGATC